ACCACCATGCTGTTCCTAGAGCTAGATTTAATTGCCTGACTTCTGCAGTACTGAAGTAATGCCATCCAAAAGTCCCACACGAAGATTGTCCCTATGGAGATGAAGTAGTTGAAACTTTAGGTCACATCTTGTTTTAATTTAGGCTTCACACAAAGGAATATATTAGGCTGCTTTGCCCTCTTATAAAGAACCTGAAAGCACACTGGTTTGGCACTTGGAACATCTTTTGGGTGATAGAAACAAGTTGATGACAAAATTAGTGGTTACATTCCTCTTCTCTGCCCAAAAGGCTGATAAGATGAATTCTCCATTTTGCACACAATCTGTATCTCGTGTTTTGATGGTATACATCCTTATGTGCACTGCACATGCATTTTAAATAAGTGTATTATCTTAAAGATGCATGTAGTATGATTATTCTTCTAATGGCCATGCTTTTAATGTTTGGATTGACGATGCTTTTGTTCCTCTACTTGTTATAATGGGTCTGTGACTATCCAATAAAATGGTGATCAATCCTTCTTTGACAAAACATACTGGTGTCTCAGCAAACTTCAAGTCCTAGAATTCCATAGCATTGAGCCATGGCAGCTAATGTTGTGTCCAACTGCATTCATTCTACAATAAAGATGCACCCAAAGTGAGTCTCCTTGAACTTGAACCCAGGAGCGGCTCAACCCATTACGCAAAGTAAGCATTTGCAGTATAGTCGATTTTGCCCAGGGGCGCTCTTGAGGCGCTCTTGGAGGAAAATAGACCTTGACAAATGCGAGTTGTAGTTACTGGGATGTATAGTTCACCTACAATCAAGAGCATTCTGAACTCCACCAATGATGGAATTGAACCAAATATGGCACACAGAACTCCCACGATGAACAGAAAATATATATCAGTGATTGTTTTGTTTTTTTTTTGGGGGGGGGGGAATAATAATAATAATAATAATTTGTTGTTGTTCATTCGTTCAGTCATCTCCGACTCTTCGTGACCTCATGGACCAGCCCACGCCAGAGCTCCCTGTCGGCCGTCACCACCCCCAGCTCCTTCAAGGTCAGTCCAGTCACTTCAAGAATGCCATCCATCCATCTTGCCCTTGGTCGGCCCCTCTTCCTTTTTCCTTCCACTTTCCCCAGCATAATTGTCTTCTCTAGGCTTTGCTGTCTCCTCATGATGTGGCCAAAATACTTCAACTTTGTCTCTAGTATCCTTCCCTCCAGTGAGCAGTCGGGCTTTATTTCCTGGAGGATGGACTGGTTGGATCTTCTCGCAGTCCAAGGCACTCTCAGAACTTTCCTCCAACACCACAGTTCAAAAGCATCTCTCTTCCTTCGCTCCGCCTTCCCTAAGGTCCAGATCTCACATCCATAGGTGACTATGGGGAATACCATTGCTTTGACTATGCAGATCTTTGTTGCCAGTGTGATGTCTCTGCTCTTTACTATTTTATCGAGACTGGACATTGCTCTCCTCCCAAGAAGTAAGCGTCTTCTGATTTCCTGGCCACAGTCTGCATCTGCCGTAACCTTTGCTTACTGTTTGCTTACCATTGAAAATTACCTAGGGCCACCTCTGCTTGAACCCATAACCAGATGACAACATCCTAGCCATTAATTACTTTTATCTGCAAGCTACCTTGAGTCCCATTTCAGGGGAACAGATCATGTATTAAACAACCAAATACATACAATTTGAGATTCCATTGGAGACCATAGTGAGATTCAGCTGTAAGTCAACCCATGGCCCTGCGTTATCTGAGGCTAAGAGGAAGTCCGTAGCACTAATGCTAGTAGGAAGTCCAGAGTCCTTTTTGTTATTTGATGTAGAGAAGTCAATAACCTTCTCTCGCTTTCCTTGAACCCCAGTTTTTCTGCCTCAGGAGGTAGAAAATCTCAGAAGCTCCATAAAATAGCAAGGACCAATTCTTATAGGAGAGAGAAAGCTGATAGGAGAAGAAACTCATGAGGAAATGTAAGGGCACCCCTCTGTTTAACCTGGATGGAGGACAACTGGGATTTCCCACTCAACTTAGTGTTGAGGCATGGTGTCCTTTTTCTTCCCACAAAAGGTTTCACCTTTACCTCCAAGAACAAAGTGGCACTCATTGGACTTGATTGTAACCCACTCCCCTTTCAAGTTTGGAATAAGTAAGTGGGGATCCTTTGACAAAAAGCGTCTTTCTTGCCTGGGAGAGCGAATTCTTATGGGAGAGGAGAGGCTGTTGAGAAAGCAAATTGGTGAGGAAGAAGAAGGGCACCACTCCTTTTAACCTGCCTGGAGGAAAACTGCCCTCTTCCCCAAGCCTTGAAAAAGTAAGTGGGGATCCTTGCCTCCCAGAATGATTTTTTATGGCCTAGGGGAGGATTTTGGGAGAAGAAACTGGTGAGGAAGCAGAAGGGAATCCCTTCTTTTAACCTGGTTGGAGGACAACTGGGATTGTTTCTCCCCCCTCTAACCTCGAATGAGTAAATGGGAATCCTTTGGCAAAAGGCTTCTCTCTTGCCTCCCAGAATGAATTCTTATGGGAGAGGAGAGGCTGTTGAGAGAACTGGTGAACTGGTGAGGAACGAGAAGGGTATTCTTCATTTTAATCTGGCTGGAGGACAACTAGGATTCCCCCGCTCCTCCCAAGCTTAAAATAAGTAAGTGGAGATCCTTTGGAGAAAGGCTTCTCACTCGTCTTCAGAAGGGGGGGGGGGATCCCAGTTGCCTTTGAGCCAGGACAAAAGGAGGGATGCCCTGCTCTTCTGCTTCACCAGTTTGTCCTTTCAGCAGCCTCCCCTCTCCATAAGAATTCCATCTTGCCTCTCAACTTGAAGCATTCTTTTCCTCCTGACCCCCAAATCAGAGCAAAAAAGAAAGAAAGGCAAGCCTGGAGGACAACTCCCCCCCTCCCAAACCTCACACAGGTAAATGCGGATCCTTTGGTGAAAGGGGTGACTTCGTTCTTGGAGGCAGGAGAGACATCTTCCCCAGCTTGGTTCAATTCAAAGCTTTCTCTCCCCCTTACCCTCAAATCAGAGCAAGAAAGAAAGAAAGGCAACCCTGGAGGACAACTCCCTTCCCTCTTGCCTCCCAGAATGAATTCTTATGGGAGAGGAGAGACTGTTGAGAGAACCAACTCGTGAGGAATCAGAAGGACATTCTTCCTTTTAACCTGGCTGGAACTGGGATTCCCCCTCTCCTCCCAAGCTTGAAATAAATATGTGGGAATCCTTTGAAGAAAGGCTTCTCTCTTGCCTTCAGAAGTGTGTGTGTGTGTTGGGGAATTCCAGATGCCCTCCAGCCAGGTTAAAAGAAGGGATGCCCTCTTCTGCTTCCTCACCAGTTTGCTCTCTCAAGGGCCTCTCCTCTCCCATAAAAATTCGTCCTGAGAGGCAAGAGAGAAGCCTTTCGTCAAAGGATCCCCACTTACTTGTGCGAGACTTGGGGGAGCAGGGGGATCCCAGATGCCCTCCTTCCAGGTTAAAAGAAGGGATGTCCTTCTGCTTCCTGACTAGTTTGTTCTTTCAACAGCCTCCCCTCTCCATAAGAATTCCTTCTTGCCTCCCAGAACGAAGCCCTGAAAGGGGGAGAACTGGGATTCCCCCTCTCCTCCCAAGCTTGAAATAAGTAAGCGGGGATCCTTTGGAGAAACGCTTCTCTCTTGTGTGTGTGTGAGGATCCTAGTTGCCCTCCAGTCAGGTAAAAAAAGGGATGCCCCTCTGCTTCCTCACCAGTTTGTTTTCTCAAGGGCCTCCTTTCTCCGGTAAGAATTCGTTCTGGGGGGCAAGAGAGAAGCCTTTTGCCAAAGGATCCCGACTTACCTGTGGGAGACTTGGGAAGGGGGGAATCCCAGATGGCCTCCAGCAAGGTTAAAAGAAGGGATGTCATTCTACTTCCTGACCAGTTTGTTCTCTCAAATACTTTTCTCCCATAAGAATTCGTTCTTAGAGGCAAGAGAGAAGCCTTTCGCCAAAGGATCCCCCACTTACTTGTTCCAGGCTTGGGGAGGGGGGTGGGATCCCTAATGCCCTCCAGCCGGGTTAAAAGAAGGGATGGCCTCTTCTGCTTCCTGACCAGTTTGTTCTCTCAAGGGCCTCTTTTCTCTCATAAGAATTCGTTCTTAGAGGCAAGAGATAAGCCTTTCACAAAAGATCCCCCACTTACTTGTTCCAGGCTTGGGAGGGGGGATGGGATCCCTAATGCCCTCCTGCTGGGTTAAAAGAAGGGATGGGCTCTTCTGCTTCCTTACCAGTTTGTTCTCTCAAGGGCCTCTTTTCTCCCGTAAGAATTCGTTCTTAGAGGCAAGAGAGCAGACTTTCGCCAGAGGATCCCCCACTTACCTGTGCGAGACTTGGGGAAGGGGGTGGGATCCCTAATGCCCTACAGCCAGGTTAAAAAAAGGGATGGGCTCTTCTGCTTCCTCACCAGTTTGTTCTCTCAAGGGCCTCTTTTCTCCCATAAGAATTCGTTCTTAGAGGCAAGAGAGCAGCCTTTCGCCAAAGGATCCCCCACTTACTTGTTCCATGCATGGGGAGGGGGGGTGGGATCCCAGATGCCCTCCAGCCAGGTTAAAAGAAGGGATGCCCTCTTCTGCCTCCTCACCAGTTGGTCCTCTCAACAGCCTCCCCTCTCCATAAGTATTCCTTCTTGCCTCCCAGAACGAAGCCCTGAAAGGGGGCGACTTCGTTCTTGGAGGCAGGAGAGAAACCTTCCCTAGCTGGGCTCAACTTGAATCCTTCTCCCCTTCAAGTCAGATTTTAAAAAGAAGGAAAGAGAAGCCTCTGTTCCCCCGGAAGGGCTGCTTCCTGGGATGCTCTGGGCGGCTTCCCGCGGAGCTCAAAGCAAGCAACAGTTCAGAGGGAAGGGAATCTTCCTTCACATCTCTCTCTCTCTCTCTGTGGGTATCTCTCTCTCTCTCTGGCTGCCTTGCCTGGATCCCCCTCCTTCCTTCCCTCCTTCCTTCCTTGCCTTCCTTCCTTCCTCGCTTGGCATTTGCATTTCCCTTCCTCTCCCCGCCCCTTTTGCGGTGATGTCAGCCCCGGCGAGGACTTGCAGGCACTGCCGGGGAGAAGCGGGTTCAGACGGCAGGCGGAGGAGACGCGGCGGGGACGGAGCTGGAGCAGCAGAGAGAAAGAGAGAGAGAAAGAGAGAGAAAGAAGCAGCATCCTCGGCTTGCTCCCTCTCCTTCCTTCCTTCCTTCCTCCCTTCCCTTCCTCCGAGGAAGCCAACCGCCTTTCCTCCGGGTCCCCTCTCCTTCGGGGAAGGGATTTTGGAGCCGGGAAGCCTCTCAGCCCATCGGGGATGCTTTAAACCAGAAGGCAAGGATCCCTCTCCTCGCTCAGCCAAGTTGCAGTCAACTTCCAGGCTCCTTCTTTCCATTCCTCCTTCGGTTTTGCTTTCTTGAACTTGCTGCATCCTTGGACCCAGCAAGTTCCCTTCCTCGCCTTCCTTGCGACTTCGGATCTCTCTGAAGCCAGACTCCCGACTTGGAGGATTTCCCTTCTCTCTCTTTCTGGGGGTGGGAAGAAAAGCATGGCTAAGGACCCCCGGTGAGGAGCAAGACGGTGGAATCCGAGGTAAGGCTCTTCTATCATCCTCATTGATTCCCTGTAGAGAGAGGGAGAGAGATGTCTCCATTGGGCATGGAAAGAGAGAGAGAGAGAGAGGGCAATGCAGGGAATTGAGGGCGATGCCAAAGACCCCCCCCCACTCCCCCAAATTGCAGCCCTTTGACAATCTCAGGACGGTGGATCTGGGCCATGCCATGCCTCCCCCGGATGCCCTCCCCTATCATCATCTCCTCTCTCTTTCTCCATGCCCCCCCCCCTCTCTTCTTTGCTGCGTCTCCAGTCGGATTGGGGTTACAGCAGGACTTAAACCGGGAGGAAGGGGACTCCAAAGCGTCGGGGAAATAAATAAATGGGGGAAGGAGAAAGCATATGGAGCGTTTTAGTGTAATCCTGTAATGGAGACTGCATTAGATGTTGTTGGAGAGAGACAGAATGCATTAAAGACCTGCTAGATTGTTAAAGAAGTTCACTGATGGAAGGATTGCCTTGCACTCTTGTCTCTGAGCTCGAAGAGTTGCTGGACACTTAAAGGAGTGGGGCTGAGGTATTAAAAAAGGCACATCAGAGGGGAGAAGAGTGGAAGGAAGAAACACACACACACATATCTATTTACTGCAGAGATTGGGGTGGCATCTGGGCACATTTTGCCAGGGAATTTACATTTTGCATTGACTGAACCAGTGACTTCTCCTCCTCCTTCTTGGTGCTGAAAGAAAAGTGAGTAAGACAGGTTGATGGCATGCTTCCCTCTTTCCCTGTAGGGATTGCTTAATGCTTACAGCCTGGGTCTTTATTACCTGCTGCAATGTGGATGGGCTGCAGAGCAGAGGGTCTCTCTCTCTCTCTGGCGCCTTGCAAGCTTCGCAGAGGAAACAACTTGCAGGAAAGTAGCTGCAATGAGGAAGAAGGGAGAAGATTATGAGCTGTTGCATGGTGTTGGGTGGTGAGGGCAGAAGGGGTGTGGACCATGGGAGTAGAGAGCCTTGGCTCAAAATAGCTATAGCTAAAGATAAATGTGTGTGTGTGTGTGTGTGTGTGTGTGTGTATGTGTGTGTGTGTAATAGTATGCAATATATGCTATTATACATACTATATATATAATAGTATATTTAATACACAAAAATATAGTATAATATATATAATAGTATATATAATCCTAAAATATATAACATCATATATACTATATAGTATTATATAGTATATGTAATCTTATATATTATATGCTAAAATATATAGTATTATATATTCTATATAGTATTATATATATTATATAATGTATATAATACTATATATTATGGTGTATAATATATAGGATTATATATACTATAGTATATATACTACTATAATACTATATGTTATATTATTGTATATACTGTATAGTATATATTATGCTATATTTAATACTATATATTTTAGTATGTAATATATAGTATTATATATACTATATAATGCTATATAGTATATATAATGCTATATATTTTAGTATGGAATGTATAGTATTATATATACTATATAATCCTATATAGTATATATAATCCTATATATTTTAGTATGGAATGTATAGTATTACATATACTATATAATGCTATATAGAATATATAATGCTATATATTTTAGCATTGTATATACTATATAGTATTATATATATATTATACAGTATATATTATAATATAATTTTTGTGTGTCAGGAGCAACTTGAGAAACTGCAAGTCGCTTCTGATGTGAGAGAATTGGCCATCTTCAAGGACGTTGTGCAGGGGACATCCAGATGTATTACTATCCTGTGGGAGACTTCTCTCATGTCCCTGCATAAGAAGCTGGAGCTAACAGACGGGAGCTCACCCCACTCACCGGATTCAAACCACCAACCTTTTGGTCAGCAGTCCTGCCGGCACAAGGGTTTAACATATTGCGCCACTGGGGGCTCCTATATATATGTATGTGTATATGTGTGTGTGTGTGTGTGTGTGTGTGTGTAAACCTCATACTTTCAGATGACCAGCTCTGAGAAAGCAGTGAAGACATTGGTAGTGCAGAAACGTTGTTGATCCGTCTGTGCTTGCTGTTGGAGCACATTCACCTTTAGTAGCAATTTCTAGCTCTCATAGATATAGAAACAACTCTTTCCTCAAATAAAAGAACCCCCTTCATGATTAACACATGAGAAATGGATACGTTTGAGTTGGGAAGTAGAGAGATAGGAGTTGGGAAGTAGAGAGGTAGGAAAGCTGCTTGTTTCCTTTGTTTTACTAGAGGGAGGACTTTTGTCTCAACCACCAAAGATTAAAATATGTATCAATCCTAATAGATAATTTTGGAAATTGGTCTCTGAGAACATCAGATAATGCTTCATGTAGAGGAAAGTATGTAAGCTTGTTCATCGCACAGCATTCTTCATCCGGCACAAGGCTGAGCCACAGAGCCCCCTTCGATCGCCTTGCCAACATCGCCTTGCAGTAGTGCTGCTCTCCAATAAGGCAGAGTTCTTAAAATGCAGTGGCTTCAGTGAATAAATTCCAATAAGCCCCTGTTGGGTTGTCAAAAACAGTTTGTTTTCCCATCTGAAATATGAACGGGAGCCTGAGTTATGCCTTCATACTTGAATGCTTCCAAAACTGTAAATTTTGCATAAGATAAAAAGGTGAAAGCGAGGGAAGCATGGGCTTGCAGGAGGCATCACAGCAGAGAGAAACTCATCTCGAGGAGAAAAAAATAATAATGCCATCTATATATATATATAATGGGGGGGGGGGGGAAGAAAGCTGGTAAGTGTGTGTGGTAATTGCAAAGACAGGATCAGAATATTAATGACTTAAACCCTGGGGATGCCAGGCTTTAGCTTGAGAGGCAAAATGCAAGAGAGAGCTGGCAAAGAGATAGAAAGAGAGGTCTTTAAATTTCCAGACATGTTTTGTTTCAGCTCCGTCTATAGTCAAATAAAATCGAACGTTACTTAAGCCAATGGTTCTTATAGTCTAAGGATGTGGCACATCAACACTTTCATGGGTGGCAGGTAACAACATGTTTCTGCTCTTGCAGGATGTGTGAATGTTTGCTATTTAAATCTTCCTTCTGCCAAAAGAAACAGTCGAGACAATCATCTATTTCTTTCCCCTTCGGTGTTGCTATCCATCTTCGCATAGCCCTCCCCATAAGAGAGGTCTTATTGCTTTGCTGTTCTGAAAATCTTCTTTTTTTCTCTTTTGGTCTCAGGGAAAAAAAAGTGAGCAAGAGAATGAGTAGTTAAAGGATAATTTATATGCACCATGGAACTGTCTGCTCAGTACAATTGGTTTTATACATCACAGCCTCTGTGAAAAAAAGGTAGATCAAAGATTTGGACCTGTAGTTCTGTAATGCATTTGTATTCTGTGCGAGTCTCGAGGCTGCATTCTGCCAGTCCTTTCCTCCCTCTCCCTCTCCCTCTCTCTCGTAGTCAAGATTGTGTCAGTCTCCTTCCATTATTTCTAGCACCCATTTGCTTAGTGGCTCGCAATACAGCCCTGCAAATTGTGCGGCGAGCTGTAATAAGAATTTACTGATAGGAATCGGAGTGCAGCCCACCCTTTGGATATTATCTACAGTCTTTCAAAGTTTCTTGTTTCTTTCCATGTGATACAAAGTGATACAAATCTGAGGATTGGGGGGGAATGTGTCCGTTGGACGTTTCTGGCCACCCTTGTCCCTTGATTCCAGAGATTTGGTGCCGTGAACTGTCTTTGTAATTGTATTTTGGGAGGGAAAACATCACTCAGCTGCCTCGAGGCAAAAGGTTAGTTCAAATTCTCAACTTTGGCTGGTCTACCTTTTTTCCTCCTTCTGGGGACACCAGTGTGTGGAATGCAACATCAAATATTTCATTTGAGGCTGTGTTACAATTGCCATCAAAAACATAACCAAAGGGCATTGTGATAAGATCAGGGCAATAGTTGGAAACTGGCAATAAAACAGTTTTGCCTCAGTACTACAATATCAAGGACACATGATTTGGTGTCAATAGTGTGTGTATTATTCCTAAAAATGATATAAATCCTATAAATTGGAGAACTGTGTTTATACAGATCCTATTTCCACCAGGGAGAGAAGATAACAAGTGTTCTTCATGAATTTAGAAGAAATGTGCTATCCTTTTTTCTGGATTCGTCTGTAGACTAGGTAGTCCAGTATTGATGTATCTCATTTATTTTTTTAGTATGGATCCAAGGATGCTTACTCTGAAGTCATTTCATAATATGATCAAGGTGTACTGCTTCAATATGAATCATACTTAGTAACTCATGCAGCAAAATTATCATGAACATGTATTACCCGACATTGTGTCTCATGGAAGTCCTACTGAAATATGTTTCCTAGTCTGCACATTTGCTTCTTCTACCATAGTTCTGTACAGCATTCGAGCTCTATACACATATCATTTATGGATAGGTTCTGCAGTAGAGATTCATAGTGTAGCAGGATGCGCACTTTGAACTTCTCATTTTGTAGCCTTTAGACGGGTTGCGGCAAAACATATTTCTCGGTAGATGTTCATCTGCTACCAAAAATGATCCAAGGAGATACCTAGAGAATAGGGCAGCCTTCATGGTGGAATTATTAACCTAGCATGAAAAGGATTAATTCTTATGTCTGTGTCCAAAACCTGGCACTAGGTAAATCCAAGTCTACTAAGTCTAGGGAAGATGGAAGAATGGCGGAGTCCTTGGTTTTCTGATACAGAAGTATTTGCCTATTGTTGGGAAGATGGTATTTCTTTCTCCTCCACATTGACCAGCTGTTTCAAAATTCAGATTCTTGTTTTTTCTAGGAATCTCATCGATGTTGAGTAAGTATGACTAAGACTGATATCTTGGAAGAACTTCCCACAGGGAAACAAACGTGGTATTGAAAGCCTCATGCTCCCTGCAGTCTTTTTGCTTAGGAACAAATTATGGTGATGTCATTGGTATGTGTCCTCATCATTTCTGTAGAGGACTGCCACCAGTGCATTTTCCACAATGGCCAAGTCT